ACTCTCTCTTCATCTTGTCTCAGTGACAGCTTCACTCGGATCACAAGCGAGAACCCTACTCCACTGGAAGTCCACCCTTGACGGCCGGCAATTCCTTGAATCCTGGAATCTCAGCTCTAATCCGTGCAATTGGACTGGAGTTACGTGCAACCTTACGCACAGAGGCCGCCCCGTCATCACCGACATATCCCTGCAGAGTATGAGCTTGCAAGGGACACTCGATGCTCTCAACTTCTCAACGCTGAGATCACTCGTCAGTCTCGACCTCCCTTACAATCAGCTCGATGGCATCATTCCTCCAACCATCTCGGTTCTCTCCAACCTTGTATATCTTGATCTCATAGGCAACCGGTTCTCGGGCGAACTCCCGGTCGAGATCGGATCTATGAAGGCGCTCCAGTTCCTATATCTCAATAAGAATCAGTTAAGTGGTTCTGTCCCTCCATCCTTGAGCAATCTTACCGGGCTTCTGCACTTGCATCTACGAGATAATAAGTTTACAGGTTTCATACCTGAGGAGCTTGGAAGACTTCAGAAGTTGGAGTATATCACACTTGGGAAGAACCAACTCTCTGGCTTCATCCCTCCCAGTTTAGGGAACTTAACGAACCTATACCACTTGTCTCTCTATATAAATCGGTTGTCTGGTCGATTGCCTCCCGAGTTGAGCAACATCACAGGTTTGACAGCGATTCTTATGTCAGACAACTTCTTCTCCGGTGACTTGCTTCCAAACATATGCAGAGGAAGAATCCTACAGTATCTCGCACTGAGCAACAACAGATTAAGAGGTCAACTTCCCGAGACCTTAAAGAACTGTACGGGATTGCTCAGAGTCCGTCTCGAGCATAACCAACTCACGGGGGATGTATCACAACATCTTGGAGTGTATCCACATCTTTCTTATATGGATTTAAGCTTCAATCGGCTATCAGGTGCACTCTCACCGGAATGGGGAAGATGGGACAATCTCTCCTTCCTGGCAATCTCAAATAACAACATCACCGGAACCATTCCACCAGAATTCGGCAAGCTAAAAGGACTACGAGGACTGGACCTTTCTTCCAACTACATACAGGGGGAGATTCCAAAGAGCTTGGGCAGGCTACCTCATCTCTACAAGCTGAACCTGAGCTGCAATCGACTCGGCGGAGAGGTACGAATAGAGTTTGGAAGGATGCCCGACCTTGAAATCCTTGATCTATCAGTTAACAGCTTGACAGGAAGAATACCGTCTCAAATCGGCAATTGTCTCAAGCTCCGCTCGCTGAAGCTTAATGGCAACAAGTTCGGCGGAGGAATTCCTCCGGAGATCAGCAGCCTGGAGTACCTTCAAGACGCATTGGACATCAGCCACAACTCACTAACGGGTGAGATACCCTCACAGTTCAGCAAATTTACGATGCTGCAAATTCTGAATCTTTCACATAATAATTTGTCCGGTGGTCTTCCATCTTCCTTAAGTGCTTTGATCAGCTTATTAATCATTGATGTATCATATAATGAATTGGAGGGGGCTGTGCCTGAGAGCCCAGTCTTCCGTAAAGCTCCGGCGAAGTGGTTTGTCCACAACAAAGGTTTGTGTGGGGTCGTCAAAGGCCTGCCTCCATGTCTTTCTTATACTGCAAGGAAAGATGATGGAAGCAAGCACCACAGAGCAATTATCTCAGCTATCATTGCTTCCGTGGTCGTCTTATTCATCCTAGTTTTTCTTGGAGCGTTTTTACTGTTCCAGAAGACCAAGAAACATTCCATGCCTTACGAAGAAAATGGCAACAAAGAAGGCATTGCATTCTGTGTATTTAACTTTGATGGAAGATATGCATACAAGGATATCGTTGCAGCCACAGAGGATTTCAATGAAAAATACTGTATCGGAAGTGGTGCATATGGCAGCGTTTACAGAGCAGAATTAGCAAGCGGGCAGATGCTAGCAGTGAAGAAAATTCACCTGCAGGAAGACGAAACTACATCGAATGAGCAATCCTTTCAAAACGAGATACATACTCTTTCTCAAATTCGACATCGAAATATCGTCAAGCTCTACGGATTCTGCTCCTCTGCTCGACACAAGTTTCTGGTGTACGAGTACATGGAGAGAGGAAGTTTGGGATCCCTCCTCAGAAGCGAAGCAGCAGCTGCCGAACTGGACTGGGTGAAGAGGGTGAACATCGTCAAAGATGTGGCTCGTGCTCTGTCCTACATGCATCATGATTGCGATCAGCCCATTGTTCATCGAGATATAACCACCAACAATATTCTGCTCGATTCAGAACTCAAGGCTTGTGTTTCTGACTTCGGTATTGCTCGACTCCTGAAGCCAGATTCATCAAATTGGAGCATGCTTGCCGGCACATATGGTTACTTGGCACCGGGTAAGTTTCTCCCCCGACGTCATATAGTTTTACAGCTTTTGCAAGTTAAGTCCATCAGCTTGTAGCTCATTTACATGAATTGTTCATCAATCTAGAAAAAGAAAACAGCAGTCGATTAACTGTACACGTAGTTATTCATCAATCAAGGCGCAAAGTAGCCTAACATAGCTGTCTTTTGGAGATCCTTCTACGATATAAGGTTTTCTCAGTTACCGTTTGTTGTTTGCAGAGCTTGCTTATGCGATGAGAGTGACCACCAAATGCGATGTGTACAGTTTCGGAGTGGTCACGCTTGAGTTGCTAATAGGCGGACATGGGGAAGAACTCGTTTCTGTTCTGTCATCGCCTTCGTCGCCGAAAAACACGCTTGTGAAAGATGTGTTAGACCAGCGTCCATCACTTCCGACGACGGAGGTTGCAGACGAGGTAGCTGCAGTCTTCATGTTGGCACTTTGCTGCGTGGAACATGACCCAGAGTCACGCCCAACAATGAAGCAGGTCTTTGGAACCCTATCGACTCTCGACACACCACCAAGTCTCCCTTCTCTCGATGTGCTCAAGCTTTCTGACTTGATGAATGCTAAAATATGATCGACTATATGGACTCCGTTCTCCGGCCGTGCCATCAAGTCATCACGTCGGCTAAATTAGGGGTTGTTGTTCACTTCATATGACCAAGCATTTTTCGTAGTAAGAAGCTGATGATGTAGTGGAGGCAAGTGGTAAAGACCTGCCCATTCTGCTGTGGCATAAAGAGCTTCCTAAAGGTAGTTTGGTTGACATGAATTGACTTCACTCTCAGAGGTCCCATCATAAAGGATTACGCATCTTACCTTTTGTGAAGCTGTAAAGTAGACAATGACTGCTTACAAGGCAAGGAGTCATCAGAGGAGGGAAAGAAATGTGAGATGAATTGTATGGTTGTGAAATCACTATAACAAATCTAGTGACATGCAGTTGTCCCGTGTTGTTCGATTACTCTTCCAGTCATACACGTCCTTTTCTTCTTTGAATGAAGCAAAGAAACAAGAATGTGTGTAACGTACCTTTTTCTTCGTTGAATATAAAGCGGTTCAAAAGAAGAGTTTACTAAATATAAGAAACTCGGATTGATAAGTATCGTGACACCCATTATTGGTCTGTTGATTAAAGATATGATTCACATGACATGATATGATATGACATGACTTACTAGGGAGGAATTATATATCACACAAGTCAAGTGTCGACAACCTGTAGGCCTCCTTTATAGGTAGGAGAAGAAAGGAGATGAACTAAAAGGATAATCTCACATCACATAATTGAAAAAATGATTGGTTTGATATATAATTTAAAAGTTTAATTTTTTAGGTTAATTGATGCTTAATTGATGTATATTAATTTTGATCAATTTTATTTAAACTCATCAATAATATACTTCTTAAAAATATTAGAGCTAGTGGAACAACTTTTGTCTTACGAAAAGTAAAGGATGGTACAATGCTCTATAATCATATATATTTTTCATATAAGAATGCAAGGTCAATAGTAGAATAAATAACTTTTATAGAATATTTATCATACAAGTCAATCAATAATTAATTCACCCCTAAGATATTCATAATTTGTTCAATATATTAATTACATTAATAATATATTCATCATGCTTCTATTACACATCTGAAAATTAAGAGATAATCATATGAGCAAATAGATAGGTAATTGTCTATCATACGACTCTCATGGACAAGACGGATCGTCTTCTTTCCCACGATCAATTCATTCCTCATTATAGACGGGAGGCTCTCTACGCCTTCGTCTCAGGCTAACTCTTCACAATAGTCCTCTGTGTTAATTTCACGAGAAGGATTTGTACTTTCGAAGTATGATCAAATCGAACTAACTCATTACTCGTTAGCCTCGACAACTTCTCTCTTCTCTCTCTTCCTTCTGCCTTGTCCTCTACTTTTCTTCTTCTTTACATGTAGATTTTTTATTTTCATGACAATAAATGACTTAACTAAGGAAATCAAAAGCAAGTGCAACCGTTTGTGTCAGAGCAAACCAAAACATCAAATTAGCCCTATGTAAGTGATTCGTCAGTTCACAACTACATTCCCTTCACCAAATACATCAGAGACCTTATGGTTAGAAAATTAAAGCATAAGAGTATGAATGTCTTGAATGAGTGAAAGGATTCTTCATGGTGGAGTTGTATGCATGCAAAGAGGATCCACCAACAATTTAGCGTCTGTTTTGATTTGAGTTGTAGCAAAGCGTAGTCCTTCGAGGATGCCTACAACTTCATAAGAGTAGTCATCTCGTGAAAAAAGTATCTATAACTAAAAAAGCATAAATAATATATATTGAATCACATATATTGATAATAAAATTTAATAATAAATTTGAAAAATTAATATATTATTAAGATAAATAATACAAAAAATACTTGATCAAAAATTAATATATCCAATCATATAATAATTGAATATCACATTGAAAAATCAGATGTCGTAACGAAAGTGACTTATCGAAGGATTGAAAAATATACCGGAGAAGAGGGTGATTAATCCAAGGCTTGAACGATCATAAAAGAGACGCAAATCTTAACTTAGCTTATGCGAAGATCTTTAACACCACAGAAAATATCATTCTTACGAACAAAGGGTCACGCAGATGGTTTTCATGCTGAAAGCGACAACACATGGAACCATTGGAGGACCAAAAGAGTGTGCATGCAATGAGCTGTATCATTATCACATTCTACTAAGAAATCTAGAGACTTATCTATCAGCACCGTTTGACGTTCAAGTACTCCTCAAGTTACACAAATTCTTCCCACTTTCTTTGGAAACAAAAAAGCGTTACAATATCATTGGAGGAGTACCATCACGCAGGTCTCTCTCTTCTTTTCATGTGACTCGGGTTCTTTAAAGAAGCCATTAATTATTGAAGCTGATAAGGTCGACTTTATTTATAAAGTACAGTCACAAAAGCTTTTTCTTTCCTCCTTTGAAATGGCCCGTTCAAGAAAGAAGACGACACTACGGATGGTTTCTGAGATTGTATTAATTTTTTATGCATAAAATTTTATTTTTTCTCTTTCCATAATGTTGATCTCTTACTAAACTATAAAGATGATCCGACTTAATGTTGGGTCAAGATGAATGCAGAGTCAAACTCGCCCTCGATATGGATTCGGGAGACAAGTGCAAATGGGACTTAGAAGAGGAGTTGAACTTGCATGAACCTCCTTATAAGAAAGACAGCTCGGTCCCTTTCATATCTAAATAGTCTCGAGATGAAGGGGATAAGGTGAATGAGAGCAAGAGTTTCACCTGAGGCTAATATGGTAGATCACATTCAATTATTTTCTTTGGATGTTTGCGAGAGTTCCACTCATTCCCTTTGATATTATGTGATAATGTTGGCATTCACGTGTAAGTCGTGGATGAATAATGAGCACTTTTGTCCTTATCAGAAAAGGAAAAGAAGTATGCATGTAACATCACGAAGGACAAGTACCATCAAATAAGCCTAATCTTTTCTTCTTTTATATGATCGGAGATCAAAAGTAGAGAATAATTGATACTAAAAAAAGGGATTAATTAAAGCTTGTATGATTGACATGATACTCATCCAATAATGGTAGATCACTATCACCTTACTTTATAAGAGAACCCTCCCTCTTTCCACAACAAATTAAAGAATTAAACTCCTATCTCAATAAGCTAGATTGCGATTATGACACCCTATCTTAACTAAAGACTTCTCTCCACCACCCTACTACTATCACAACATCATGTCTTAGCAACACCTTCACTAGGATCCCTAAGCAAGAGCACTCCTGCTAAGTCCACCCTCTAAAACCTAAACTCATCTTGACATCATATTATATCATCTTATTTAATTATATAAGATACATTATAATTTTGATTAGATTTTAATTTGGGTTATCGATCGGTAGAAATTTTTTTTTTAATTTTGATAGGATTCTTTATTGGGATGATTTTAATAGAAAGAACTATCCTAATTATTTATCGACTCTCTACTCCCGCTTATAAATAGATAGGACTTCTTAGCAACTATATATAGAAGAGAGATCACAAATCAACTCTCATCTCTCCTTAGTTTTTATTCTATCGCTTATAATAGTCCTAAGAAGAATAGGAAGAGATGAGAAGTCGAGTCTAGTTCTCCTTACATATCGATATCGTTGTTTAATTTGGATCGAATGACATTGTATTAGCATATTAGAAGCAAGGTATTCTGAATGACAATATATATCATAGATTTAACCTATTGTTATTTAATTTCAAATTCTAACATTAAATATATTCTGTATAATTGCATAACTATTTTTTTATGCTTATAGTTGACATCAAAACCTATTTTAAAATCAAATACTTTATCAAAATTTTAATTTTGATAAAGCCTCAATTTTAGCATCAATTTTGGTCAATTCTCAATTGTTGATTGAATTTGATTTTGACAATAGTTTGATTTGATTTTGACCATAGCCTAATTTAAACCTAATTTAATCAGAATTTAAGTTTTTTTATTGATTTTGACCTCAGTCAATATTCATTTGATTGAACCTTAATTTTGATCTTAGTCAACTCTAATTTTAATTGACCTAATTGAATTGATGTTTATCCCAAATTTATAAACCTAATTTGAATAGCCCAATTAAATAGAGTTAATTGGTCTAATTTGGGGTCCCATATAGAATTTTAAAAAAATATAAATTATGAATTACTTTTATAGTTTTTCTCACATGAAATATTGATAATTTTTTTATTTGCTTGTGGTACTTAAATTTCAATTATTACTTTTGGCTATTTTGTAGTTATTTATATGCATATTAAAAATATAAAATAATATTTTATTTTCACATAAAGGTATGATTTTTATTTTATCATTATTACAGTCATCATATAAGTTTTCTTTTATGGTGATTAATGCTTAATAATTATTATGATTATTATCTTATTATTATTGAACTATTTTTATAAATTATATTTAAAAAAATAAATATTATTTATAATTTATATTCATAAGTTTTATTTGATTTGTAGATGCCAAAGTGGTCTAAGATAATAGGCTTATTAGGTGTAAATTATAATATATATTTTACTATTTATAG